TTTTGTCAGGTGAGAGTGATATGGTTGGGCAACATTGCATGGGAACATTGGCAAGCCATAACAGAATAGTTAATCATCAAATTGCACAGAAATATTTGGGTACTGAGTTATTGTGTACAGAAATTTGGATTATGGACTAAAAACACTGTTATGAAATCACTGAACATTTTACCATAATTTATTCACAGTCACTGATTAATTTCAAAAGTGTTACTAAACCCACAACTGTAAAATCAGTCTGTATATGCAGTAAAGCATGCTTGGTATACTCACTGTGGAACCTAAGGGGTTAATCCTCTGCATTGTGTAAAAAGGCTGTTTGATCCTGTCTTCTCTAATCTTCCCCTAATTCCAGTGTCCCCTCTCTTATCTCCTGATAAGACATATCGTGTGGAATCACTCTGCACATGCTCAGTTTGGTGTGTAGTGCTAGAGAGGGTTTTTTTTTTCTTGAGAGAGGGCATGTGATCAGCACCGGGCCAATCAGCACTGTCCAGACAGAGGTCAGGGGTTCTGCATCATCCTAGAGCAAAATTAAAACTTCCCCTTCAAGCTTTAACAAGTGCTCTGCTGGACACTGATAGAAGTCACAAGACTGCTCTAACTGCTGATGAGAAAAGATATTTAGCACTTTATATTTACTAAAATAATTGCATTTTCATGTTCTGTGTACTGTGGGAGACCAGATATAGTGAATGTGGGGTCTGGGGAGAGTGGATAGAGTGAATGTGGGGTCCGGGGAGACCAGATATAGTGAATGCAGGGTCCGGGGAGACCAGATATAGTGAATGCAGGGTCCGGGGAGACCGGATATAGTGAATGCAAGGGTCCAGGGAGACCAGATATAGTGACTGCAGGGTCCGGGGAGACCAGATATATAGTGAATTCAGGGTCCGGGGGAGACCAGATATAGTGAATGCAGAGTCCGGGGAGACCAGATATAGTGAATGCAGGGTCCTGGGAGACCGCATAGAGTGAATGCAGGGTCCTGGGAGACCGCATAGAGTGAGTGCAGGGTCCAGGGAGACCAGATATAGTGAGTGCAGGGTCCTGGGAAACCAGATATAGTGAGTGCAGGGTCCAGGGAGACCAGATATAGTGAGTGCAGGGTCCAGGGAGACCAGATATAGTGAGTGCAGGGTCCAGGGAAACCAGATATAGTGAATGGGGGGTCCGGGGAGACAAGATATAGTGAATGCGGGGTCCTGGGAGACCGGATATAGTGAATGCGGGGTCCTGGGAGACCGGATATAGTGAATGCAGGGTCCTGGGAGACCGGATATAGTGAATGCAGGGTCCTGGGAAACCGGATATAGTGAATGCGGGGTCCTGGGAGACCGGATATAGTGAATGCCGGGTCCTGGGAGACCGGATATATGAATGCGGGGTCCGGGGAGACCAGATATAGTGAATGCAAGGTCCGGGGAGACCGCATAGAGTGAATGCAGGGTCCTGGGAGACCGCATAGAGTGAGTGCAGGGTCCAGGGAGACCAGATATAGTGAGTGCAGGGTCCTGGAAAACCAGATATAGTGAATGGGGGGTCCGGGGAGACAAGATATAGTGAATGCTGGGTCCGGGGAGACCAGATATAGTGAATGCAGGGTCCTGGGAGACAGGATATAGTGAATGCAGGGTCCTGGAGACCGGATATAGTGAATGCGGGGTCCTGGGAAACCGGATATAGTGAATGCGGGGTCCTGGGAGACCGGATATAGTGAATGCGGGGTCCGGGGAGACCAGATATAGTGAATGCAATGTCCGGGGAGACCGCATAGAGTGAATGCAGGGTCCTGGGAGACCGCATAGAGTGAGTGCAGGGTCCAGGGAGACCAGATATAGTGAGTGCAGGGTCCTGGAAAACCAGATATAGTGAAATGGGGGGTCCGGGGAGACAAGATATAGTGAATGCTGGGTCCGGGGAGACCAGATATAGTGAATGCAGGTCCTGGGAGACCGGATATAGTGAATGCAGGGTCCTGGGAGACCGGATATAGTGAATGCGGGGTCCTGGGAAACCGGATATAGTGAATGCGGGGTCCTGGGAGACCGGATATAGTGAATGCGGGGTCCTGGGAGACCGGATATAGTGAATGCGGGGTCCTGGGAGACCGGATATAGTGAATGCGGGGTCCAGGGAGACCGGATATAGTGAATGCGGGGTCCTGGGAGACCGGATATAGTGAATGCGGGGTCCTGGGAGACCGGATATAGTGAATGCGGGGTCCTGGGAGACCGGATATAGTGAATGCGGGGTCCTGGGAGACCGGATATAGTGAATGCAGGGTCCTGGGAAACCGGATATAGTGAATGCGGGGTCCTGGGAAACCGGATATAGTGAATGCAGGGTCCTGGGAGACCGGATATAGTGAATGCGGGGTCCTGGGAGACCGGATATAGTGAATGCGGGGTCCTGGGAGACCGGATATAGTGAATGCGGGGTCCTGGGAGACCGGATATAGTGAATGCGGGGCCCGGGGAGACCGCATAGAGTGAATGCGGGGTCCTGGGAGACCGGATATAGTGAATGCGGGGCCCGGGGAGACCGGATATAGTGAATGCGGGGTCCTGGGTGACCGCATAGAGCGAATGCGGGGTCCTGGGTGACCGCATAGAGCGAATGCGGGGTCCAGGGTGACCGCATAGAGCGAATGCGGGGTCCAGGGTGACTGCATAGAGCGAATGCGGGGTCCGGGGGTGACCGCATAGAGCGAGTGCGGAGTCCGGGGAGACCGCATAGAGCGAGTGCGGGGTCCGAGGTTTAGTAACACTTTAATTCCAGAAACTGGTGACTCCCACTGATTGCCTCCAGATGTGGTATTATGGCAGTAGTGTTGTTATTTTTTTTGTTTTATTTTTTAGCCATTCTTTGTTACCAGAATAAGGAGGTAGAGGAGGGTTTAGTAACCCTTTAAATAATATATTAGTTATTTGTCCAGGTTTATTTTTTCACAATTGTGTGTTTATGATGACTATATGGAAGGTCATCACACAATAGTGTTTTTTGTTCTTTTTTCAGTAATTTAATTTGGTTGCGCTGCACTTTACCAGTGTGGGGGATGTGTAGATACCAAAATGAAGAGGTTTAACTCTCCAGAATACGGCCAATTAAAATGTGCATTTTGTGTGGACTGGCCCTTTAAATCATGCCTGCTGTGTGGGTCTGGTTGGGTTGGATCGCCCCGTCATGTCTGCAGCGTACGGGATGCGTCATGACGTGCCGCTGTGACAGTTGAAATGACAGTGTTGCTATTTGCAGGAAACGTTGTGTCAGGAAAGCAGTTGGTAATCACTTGGCAGGAAACCGCGGTGCTCTCGTCAGCTGCACTGCGCTGTCTGCCGTCACATCTATTGTACTGACTGTAAAAATGAAAACTCCCAGAAATGTGCAAAGAAATGACACACGACGGCTGTCAGAGTAGATGTGAACCAGAACTGGGTGATGTTTCGTCTGCCAAAACACTGTGTATCCTAAATAAATGTTGTGTTTTTTTAAAATGAAATTCTTGTTTTTTACTCTTTTTCAACATTTTAGTGCTGCTGATCACCCGCAACCTCTTTGCGGCCGCTTCCGGTCTATATGCACCTGACTGCATGGTATTTCTTAGGGAGGGTAGTCTGGAAAGGGTGCGAAGGATGGGAGCGCCACACGTCTGTAAGCAGTCCAATGTACGGCTAAGCTTGACAAAAGATCAAAAGGTAAAGCCAGCGTGTTTTGGGGGCTTATTGCTCCCCTTCATCAGGGCTTGCATTTGGGCAGTAATAGGAGAACATAATGGGCAAGGATTAGAATAATAGCAATGCAGGCGCTGCCACTAATGTCGGCATTAAAGCCCTGATGAAGGAGCTGTGGCCCCAAGAAACACTGTGGCTTAACCCTTTAGTGCCTAATCAAGGTTAATGAGCCTATTCTGGACCGGTTACTAACTTGGGGCACTCTTTTTAGTCTGCAAAATATAAAGAAGAGAACGCGCTCCAAAAATTTGTCCAGATTACTTTTATTTGTCGTATTTAATAACATTTGATAGATTAGTTTTAAAGTGTTACTAAACCCCAACTGTAAATGCAGTCTGTAGATGCAGTAAAGCATGCTTGTTATACTCACTGTGGAACCCAAGGGGTTAATCCTCTGCATTGGCTGTTTGATCCTGATTTCTCTGATCCTCCCTTTCTTCCAGTGTCCCCTTCTTATGTCCTGATAAGACATATCGTGTGGAGTCACTCTGCACATGCTCAGTTTAGTGTGTATTGCTAGAGAGGTTTTTTTGTTCTTGGGAGAGTGCATGTGATCAGCACAGGGCCGATCAGCACTGTCCAGACAGAGGTTAGGGGTTCTGCATCATCCTAGACCTAGAGCAAAATGAAAACTTCCCCTACAAGCTTTAACCAGTGCTCAGCTGAACACTGATAGAAGTCATTAGACTGCTCTAACTGCTGATAAGAAAAGATATTTGGCACTTTATATTTACTAAAATAATTGCATTTCCATGTTGTGTGTACTGTGGGAGACCAGATATAGTGAATGCAGGGTCCGGGGAGACCAGATATAGTGAATGCAGGGTGCGGGGAGAGCGGATATAGTGAATGTGGGGTCCGGGGAGAGCGGATATAGTGAATGCGGGGTCCGGGGAGAGCGGATATAGTGAATGCGGGGTCCAGGGAGAGCGGATATAGTAAATGCGGGGTCCTGGGAGACCAGATATAGTGAATGCGGGGTCTGGGGAGACCGGATATAGTGAATGCGGGGTCCAGGGAGACCGGATATAGTGAATGCGGGGTCCGGGGAGACCGGATATAGTGAATGCAGGGTCCGGGGAGACTGGAAATAGTGAATGCAGGGTCTGGGGAGACCAGATATAGTGAATGCAGGGTCTGGGGAGACCAGATATAGTGAATGCAGGGTCTGGGGAGACCAGATATAGTGAATGCAGGGACTGGGGAGACCAGATATAGTGAATGCAGGGTCTGGGGAGACCAGATATAGTGAATGCAGGGTCTGGGGAGACCAGATATAGTGAATGCAGGGTCCGGGGAGACTAGATATAGTGAATGCAGGGTCCTGGGACACCAGATATAGTGAATGAAGGGTCTGTGGAGATCAGATATAGTGAATGCGGGGTCCTGGGAGACCAGATGTAGTGAATGCGGGGTCCTGGGAGACCAGATGTAGTGAATGCGGGGTCCGGGGAGACCAGATGTAGTGAATGCGGGGTCCGGGGAGACCAGATGTAGTGAATGCGGGGTCCGGGGAGACCAGATGTAGTGAATGCGGGGTCCGGGGAGACCAGATGTAGTGAATGCGGGGTCCGGGGAGACCAGATGTAGTGAATGCGGGGTCCGGGGAGACCAGATGTAGTGAATGCGGGGTCCGGGGAGACCAGATGTAGTGAATCTTAGCGGGGTCCGGGGAGACCAGATGTAGTGAATGCGGGGTCCGCGGAGACCAGATGTAGTGAATGCGGGGTCCTGGGAGACCAGATGTAGTGAATGCGGGGTCCGGGGAGACCAGATGTAGTGAATGCGGGGTCCGGGGAGGCCAGATGTAGTGAATGCGGGGTCCGGGGAGGCCAGATGTAGTGAATGCGGGGTCCGGGGAGGCCAGATGTAGTGAATGCGGGGTCCGGGGACGCCAGATGTAGTGAATGCGGGGTCCGGGAGGCCAGATGTAGTGAATGCGGGGTCCGGGGAGGCCAGATGTAGTGAATGCGGGGTCCGGGGAGACCAGATGTAGTGAATGCAGGGTCTGGGGAGACCAGATATAGTGAATGCAGGGTCTGGGGAGACCAGATATAGTGAATGCAGGGTCTGGGGAGACCAGATATAGTGAATGCAGGGACTGGGGAGACCAGATATAGTGAGTGCAGGGTCTGGGGAGACCAGATATAGTGAATGCAGGGTCTGGGGAGACCAGATATAGTGAATGCAGGGTCCGGGGAGACCAGATATAGTGAATGCAGGGTCCTGGGACACCAGATATAGTGAATGAAGGGTCTGTGGAGATCAGATATAGTGAATGCGGGGTCCTGGGAGACCAGATGTAGTGAATGCGGGGTCCTGGGAGACCAGATGTAGTGAATGCGGGGTCCGGGGAGACCAGATGTAGTGAATGCGGGGTCCGGGGAGACCAGATGTAGTGAATGCGGGGTCCGGGGAGACCAGATGTAGTGAATGCGGGGTCCGGGAGACCAGATGTAGTGAATGCGGGGTCCGGGGAGACCAGATGTAGTGAATGCGGGGTCCGGGGAGACCAGATGTAGTGAATGCGGGGTCCGCGGAGACCAGATGTAGTGAATGCGGGGTCCTGGGAGACCAGATGTAGTGAATGCGGGGTCCGGGGAGACCAGATGTAGTGAATGCGGGGTCCGGGGAGACCAGATGTAGTGAATGCGGGGTCCGGGAGGCCACCAGATGTAGTGAATGCGGGGTCCGGGGAGGCCAGATGTAGTGAATGCGGGGTCCGGGGAGACCAGATGTAGTGAATGCGGGGTCCGGGGAGGCCAGATGTAGTGAATGCAGGATCCTGGGTTTAGTAACACTTTAATGCCAGAAACTGGTAAATCCCACTGATTGCCTCCAGATGTGTTATTATGGCGTAGTGTTCTCTTTCATTATTATTTTTTTTAGCCATTTATGTTACCAGAATAGGGAGGTAGAGGGGAATCTCCTGCTGTTCCAGTGATGGCTGTCTAAGGGGGGATTTCTCACTTCCTGTTTCCTGCTTCAGGGATAGGAAGTAAAGGCAAATCTCCCCAACAAAACACAAAGCACAAAACTAAGCAAAAAAAAAAAACTGACTCTTCCCTCCACAAAGATAAAAAGTAAGTGGCTTCAGATACATTTTAAACAAGTCTGAAAATCCAGTAAAGCCTTACTTGGAAGAACCGAGGATGGGCACCTACCTCCCCTACCCTCCACCTTCATGGTTTGGTATTTATCATAGTACAGGTACTCTTTAGATGCAGTTGTTTGGTATACAGCCTCGTCCTTCTCACTGCTGAATCGCAGAGCTTCTCCATGCAGCCTGTCACCCCCAGGCCTAGCTCGCGTCCTCTATAATTAAAGCCGCACTATACAGGTCGCCGTGACCGGTTTGCTAACAAGTAAATGTTTTCTTTTATTGGCTCCACATGTAGTGAATCATTAAGAAGCTTCCTCCTGGTCTTTGATGTTCTAACCTGTTTAATTTCCCAGCTCATGTTAATATAGGGTGTGTAGGGTGGATGCCTGGAAATATTATGAGGTAAGATTTGTCAGCCCTAGACAGTCAGATTTCACCAAATTATACCAACATCCAAGATTCTTCATTCAGATGTTGTCCACTCATCTCCACCATGTTCGTTGTCATATTGCAGTGATGCAGCACCTCAAAATCCAATTTTATGTGCCCAGCACTAGAATGTCTTACTTGGGATCTTGACAGCTGTGGCTTTTACAGTGTACACCCATCAGCTTTGGCTTGTTCTCTATAATCCCAATGGCTTGTTTGGAACCATGCTGTGGGCCATGTCCATCACAGATATACAGTTGTGCTCAAAAGTTTGCATACCCTGGAGAAATTGTGACATTTTGGCATTGATATTGAAAATATGACTGATCATGCCAAAAATGCTCTTTTATTGAAGGATGATGAACATATGAAGCCATTTATTATCAAATAGTTGTTTGGCTCCTTTTTAAATCAATGATAACAGAAATCACCCAAATGGCCATGATCAAAGTTTTCCCTCCCCTGGAATGTTTGGCCTTGGTACAGACACACAAGGTGACACACACAGGTAAAATGCCAATTAGAGGTTAATGTCCCACATCTGTGGCTTTTTAAATTGCAATTAGTGTCAGTGTATAAATAGTCAATGAGTTTGTTAGCTCTTACGTGGAAGAACTGACTAGGCTAGATACTGAGCCATGGGGATTAGAAAAGAACTGTCAAAAGTCCTGCAAAACAAGGTAATGGAACTTTATAAAGATGGAAAAGAACATAAAAAGATGTCCAAAGCCTTAAATATGCCAATCAGTACTGTTAAATCACCTATCAAGAAGTGGAAAGTTTGGGGATCTCTTGGTACCAAGCCAAGGTCAGGTAGACCAAAAAAGATTGCAGCCATAACTGACAGAAGAATTGTTCGGGATACAAACGGAAACTCACAGGCAACCTCAAGAAAAATACAGGCTGCTCTGTGTGGTTGTATTGAAGGAGCACAATATGATGACACTTCAACAAAAATGAGCTGAATGGTCGAGGTGCCAGAAAGAAGCCTTTACTGCATCAATGACACAAGAAAGCCCGGTTAGGCATGTCAAGGTGTTGTCAGGCATATTGTAACTGGGATTTTTTGTGGCATTGGTGCAGTAAAAGCTTCTTTTTGGCACCAAACAGCTAATTTTTGTTCGAGTATCACCGTATTGTACTCCTTAAAAACAACCACACCATCTTTTTCCAGAGCAGCCTGATTTTCTTTTGAGGTTGCCTGTGGGTTTTTGTTTGAATCTCAGACAATTCTTCTGGTAGTTGTGGCTGCAATCTTTCTTGGTCTACCTGACCTTGGCTTGGTATCAAGAGATCCCCGAACTTTCCACTTCTTTATAGGTGATTTAACAATACTGATTGGCATAGTCAAGGCTTTGGACATCTTTTTATGTCCTTTTTTCCGTCTTTATAAAGTTCCATTACCTTTTTATGCAGGACTTTTGACAGTAATGATGTCTAGTGTGTTTGGAGTTGAATGGATGTATCTGTAGGTGGTGAGCTTTCTTTCCTGTTCTTGTGGAAGACTGACCAGCCCTTCTTGTCGTTGACAGCGGCCTCTTATTCAATGGCACAAGACAATGAGACCTCACTAGGAAGTTCTTCTTTGTCCACCTCTTTGGAGGCTGACTCGACCCTCCAGGAGAACTACGTGTGCAGTCTGACCCCTGAACTCATCCAGAAGGCCCGTGAGGAGCTTCAGGAGAAGCCAGAATGGAGACTACGTGACGTACAGGCTCTCCGGGACATGATATGGAAGGACTATCCAAACCTCAGGACCAGAGTGGACGATGCCTTCCTCCTCCGCTTCCTCAGAGCCCGCAAGTTTGACTATGACCGGGCCTTGCAGCTCCTGGTTAACTATTATAGCTGCCGGAAAGGGTGGCCTGAGCTTTTTACAGACCTGAGACCATCTGCGGTAAGGCCGGTGCTGGACTCTGGCTTCCTAACAGTCCTGCCTCATAGCGACACGGATGGGAGGCGTGTTGTCTGCATTCGCCCGGGTGAGTGACATAATTACTATCTGTATGTGCCTGTGTAGTCACTAGTTAGAAACCTAGAGTTTTCTACTTTTTATAGTTCTGCAATGCTTAAAATGGCCTTAAAATACTCCAGTAAAAATTAACTTTCTGCTCTCACACTCAAGTGCTCTGTTCTTGTGGAGCTGAGTAACAGCCACACCCCTTCACACTCATAGCAGAGGAAGAGAGGGGGGCGTGTCTAACCGGGTTTGTTAGTTTACGAAGTGTATTGGACAGTGTGGTCACACTTTATTGCTCAGTTCTATTTAGACACACAGACCGACTGCTGTAACAGGAAAGTAGAGGTAAGGCTTGGTCAGCAGTGGTTGTTAGTACAAAGTTTAACTAAAGCTGGCCATACACGGGTCGAATTCTGAAAGAATTTCCTTTTTGAAAATCTCTTCTAAGAATTTTCGTTCGAATTTCGCACCATTAGAGGGGTCACAGAAACGGCCTATTTTTGTGTGACCATCGAATTTGAGTGATTGGTCATGTTGGAAATTTTTTGAAAAGCAAACGAATTTCGAATCAATGATGGGATAATCGTGTGAGAAATCTAAACGAAAAAGAAACAAGCATGAGCTGTGACCTGGAAAGAAAAGAAAATTCTTGGGCATGAAAATTCTTTTCTGTAGCAACACAAGATGAAACTGAAGGCTTGGTTGGTTGAATTTCTAAATCATCGGTGGCATCATTGGATTACAAAACGCACAAAATTTCCAGTTTTCTAATGAAAATACGTTCGGAATTCAACCCAGGTATGGCTGGCTTAAATCTCTGTTTTGAGGACTTCAGTTCAGTTTACAGAACTGCTAAATCTAAAGTAAGGAAAACGTATGCCATATGAAAGAACTAGCACATTCCCAAATGGAGGAAGGGGCAAGAGCCAATTGACAGCAACCTTTTTGGGAAGCCAAAAAAAAAAAAATAGAGCCCACTTCTCAAGAGTCATGGCAAGGCAACAATTCCCAAGAAGATTACTTGTCTTTGCAGCGCTATAGTCAGCTAATAGGTGATTCAGTTCATTATTTTCCATTTTTCCAGTTAGGCAATCTTAACTTGTGATCTGATGTCCCTGCCAATCAGGGAAATCTGCAAAAATGAAAAGGTGAACTCCAAATATCCTGGCCACCCCACTGGTTCTAGCAACCGTGAGGCTCCCATGCTGTTGGTGCAGTGTTCCGTACATTGATCACCACAATACACAGCCTTGGAGGGAGTACCCATCATAATGCTTACAGTGGCCTTGGAGGGAGTACCCTTCATAATGCTTACAGTGGCCTTGGAGGGAGTACCCTTCATAATGCTTACAGTGGCCTTGGAGGGAGTACCCATCATAATGCTTACAATGGCCTTGGAGGGAATACCCATCAATGCTTACAGTGGCCTTGGAGGGAGTACCCATCACAATGCTTACAGTGGCCTTGGAGGGAGTAATGCCCATCACATCGTAATGCTTACAGTGGCCTTGGAGGGAGTGCCCATCATAATGCTTACAGTGGCCTTGGAGGGAGTACCCATCATAATGCTTACAGTGGTCTGGAGGGAGTACCCATCACAATGCTTACAGTGGCCTTGGAGGGAGTGCCCATCGTAATGCTTACAGTGGCCTTGGAGGCAGTACCCATCATAATGCTTACAATGGCCTTGGAGGCAGTACCCATCATATTGCTTACAGTGGCCATGGAGGGAGTACCCATCATAATGCTTACAATGGCCTTGGAGGGAATACCCATCGTAATGGTTACAGTGGCCTTGGAGGAAGTATCCATCGTAATGCTTACAATGGCCTTGGAGGGAGTATCCATCATAATGCTTACAATGGCCTTGGAGGGAGTATCCATCATAATGCTTTCAGTGGCCTTGGAGGGAGTATCCATCATAATGCTTACAGTGGCCTTGGAGGGAGTATCCATCGTAATGCTTACAGTGGCCTTGGAGGGAATACCCATCGTAATGCTTACAATGGCCTTGGAGGGATACCATCGTAATGCTTACAGTGGCCTTGGAGGGAGTACCCATCATAATGCTTACAATGGCCTTGGAGGGAGTATCCATCATAATGCTTACAGTGGCCTTGGAGGGAGTATCCATCATAATGCTTAATGGCAAGTGCTTGTTAGTCAGTTTAGCAACGTGACTGTGATGACCACGGAGAAGTGCATCAGAGGCTTTTTCGTGTCCAAGAAGAAAAAAAATCACTTCTCATTGGTCAGTGCAGACACACTGTCACACTAAGTTGCCATTGAGAGCATTATGATGGGTACTCACTCCAGAGGTGTGTATTGCAGTGTATGGACCGCTACACCAGCAGCACGGGTCATTAGGACCACCATGTGCCGCAGAGTCTGGAGGATTGGCCAGGATATTTGAAAAAGAAAAAAAAAGCAAAAACTGTTTTCTGTTTTAGTACTGTGAAAATATATTTTTATTTTTTATATATATCAGTCCCTTTAACCATCATCACAGTTCTTATCGTTCTTTTTATTTAATTTTGCTTTCTCCATCAGGCCGATGGAACCCCCGGGACTATCCAATCACAGAAAACGTACGTGCCATGTACCTGTCCCTGGAGAAGCTGATCGAGTCGGAGGAGACACAAGTCAATGGAATTGTCATCCTGGCCGATTACGAAGGGGTGGGCTTGTCTCAGGCTTCCCATTTTGGACCCTTTATAGCCAAAAAAGTGATTGGGATTCTGCAGGTAGGAAAAGAAATGAGCTGGCGGGAATATTTTATTTCCTGACCAGACTGCAGGTTTTCTTATGGCCACACAAAATATTTTTCTATCAGAGATGCACTTTGTATTTAAGAATGGCGTAAAGGAGATTAATGAGTGTCTTGTGTAGGCAGTTTGAAATTTAAGGACTGAGGTGACTTTAGTTTTAAAGAGGACCTGTTACAAAATCAAATGCCTTCTGAAAGTTGCAGGGCAGTTTTGGAAACAATAGAGACACATTCTTGGCGTGGTAGAAGCTTTTCTTTGTTGGTCAGCTGATCTTATTCTTTCACTCAGGATGGGTTTCCGATCAGAATAAAAGCCGTCAATGTCATCAATGAACCGAGAATATTCAAAGGGATTTTTGCGATATTGAGGCCATTTTTGAAAGAGAAGATCGTGAAGCGGGTAAGTGTTCTCTGTATGTCGTTCACCTTTCCTGTAGAGTTATACAAGTTCTGGTTTGGCCTTGTATACAGGGCTGTATGGATTGCAAGCTAGTGCAAATTTATATTGGATTGGCAGATGTGTCTACATGGATCCAGACCATCCATATGGATTAAAGAACGCCTGTAGCGAGATGTATGAAAGCTGCCATTGCTGATGCCTCCTACTGGAATTTCTAGCTCTCTGGCTGCCATTGCTGATGCCTCCTACTGGAATTTCTAGCTCTCTGGCTGCCATTGCTGATGCCTCCTACTGGAATTTCTAGCTCTCTGGCTGCCATTGCTGATGCCTCCTACTGGAATTTCTAGCTCTCTGGCTGCCATTTTCTGGCTGCCATGCCTCCCCCCCTACTGGAATTTCTAGCTCTCTGGCTGCCATTGCTGACCCCCCCCCTACTGGAATTTCTGGCTGTCATTGCTCTCTGGCTGCCATTGCTGATGCCCCCCCCCCCCCACTGGAATTTCTAGCTCTCTGGCTGCCATTGCTGATCCCCCCACTGGAATTTCTGGCTGCCATTGCTGATTCCCCCCCCCCCCACTGGAATTTCTGGCTGCCATTGCTGATCCCCCCCCCCCCCCACTGGAATTTCTAGCTCTCTACTGGCTGCCATTGCTGATCCCCCCCTACTGGAATTTCCCCCCCCCCCCCGCTACTGGAATTTCTGGCTGCCATTGCTGATCCCCCCCCTACTGGAATTTCTGGCTGTCATTGCTGATCCCCCCCGCTACTGGAATTTCTGGCTGCCATTGCTGATCCCCCCCCCCTACTGGAATTTCTGGCTGCCATTGCTGATCCCCCCCCTACTGGAATTTCTGGCTGCCATCCCCCCCCCCCCCCCACTGGAATTCCTAGCTCTCTGGCTGCCATTGCTGATCTACTGGAATTTCTGGCTGCATTGCTGATCCCCCCCCCTACTGGAATTTCTGGCTGTCATTGCTGATCCCCCCCCCCCCTGGCTACTGGGAATTTCTGGCTGTCATTGCTGATCCCCCCCGCTACTGGAATTTCTGGCTGCCATTGCTGATCCCCCCCTGGAATTTCCTGCCATTGCTGATCCCCCCCACTGGAATTTCTAGCTCTCTGGCTGCCATTGCTGATCCCCCCCGCTACTGGAATTTCTGGCTGCCATTGCTGATCCCCCCCCCCCCACTGGAATTTCTAGCTCTCTGGCTGCCATTGCTGATCCCCCCCCCCTACTGGAATTTCTGGCTGCCATTGCTGATCCCCCCCGCTACTGGAATTTCTGGCTGCCATTGCTGATCCCCCCCCCTACTGGAATTTCTGGCTGTCCATTTGCTGATCCCCCCTACCTGGCTGCCATTGCTGATCCCCCCCTACTGGAATTTCTGGCTGTCATTGCTGATCCCCCCCGCTACTGGAATTTCTAGCTGGCTGCCATTGCTGATCCCCCTGCCATTGCTGATTCCCCCCCCACTGGAATTTCTAGCTCTCTGGCTGCCACTGGCTGATCCCCCCTACTGGAATTTCTGGCTTGCTGATGCCATTGCCCCCCCCCCGCTACTGGAATTTCTGGCTGCCATTGCTGATCCCCCCCTACTGGAATTTCTGGCTGCCATTGCTGATCCCCCCACTGGAATTTCCCCCCCTGATGCCTCCTACTGGAATTTCTGGCTGCCATTGCTGATCCCCCCTACTGGAATTTCTGGCTGCCATTGCTGATCCCCCCCCCCCCCACTGGAATTTCTAGCTCTCCGGCTGCCATTGCTGATCCCCCCTAATGGAATTTCTGGCTGCCATTGCTGATCCCCCCCCCCCTACTGGAATTTCTGGCTGCCATTGCTGATCCCCCCACTGGAATTTCTAATTTCTGGCTTCCATTGCTGATCCCCCCTACTGGAATTTCTGGCTGCCATTGCTGATCCCCCCCTACTGGAATTTCTGGCTGCCATTGCTGATCCCCCCCTACTGGAATTTCTGGCTGCCATTGCTGATCCCCCCCCTACTGGAATTTATGGCTGCCATTGCTGATCCCCCCCCCCCCCCCCCCACTGTAATTTCTAGCTCCCTGGCTGCCATTGCTAATGCCTCCTACTGGAATTTCTGGCTGCCATTGCTGATTCCCCCCCCCCCCCCCCCCCCCACTGGAATTTCTAGCTCTCTGGCTGCCATTGCTGATGCCTCCTACTGGAATTTCTGGCTGCCATTGCTGATCCCCCCCCCCCTACTGGAATTTCTAGCTCTCTGGCTGTCATGGTGATCCCGTGGCTTTAGTAATTTCTTGGAGCAAGCTTGCAAATCAAATATTCTGATTTAATTCCGACTCTCCTGATCTGCATACTTGTTCCAGGTCAGAATCTTAAATGTTTGAAACCAGTGACCACCAGGCAACAATGGTAGCCTCTGTCCACTGTGAATTATTTAATATGATCTCCCTGCTCCAGGTCTGTTTCAGAGCAAAATCTGTTGTGACTGTGCTGTTTGGCGCTTACGAGCGTCTGGCTGTAAGTGGTAAACATGAAATAATTCTCAATTGCGTTGTGCTACCATACATGAAGAAAAGTGCATGTTATTATCTTAAAATACGTATAAACTAAATATTAAATGGATCAAACTCATACAAATCAAAACTTCATAGAAAGTGTACTCTGCAAAAATCACACAAATATAAGTCCCACCAAAATTCATAAAAAGCGCTATGTACAAAGCCCGTAACCAAAGAACATAGTGTGAATAAAGCAGCCCAGAAATGAGCATGGTGCAGTATTATAAAACCTCACTTTAATTATACTTTGTTGCCCCAGAAACAACGTCCCATAGGGCAAAACGGGCCATGCGGCGCTACAGCGGTGACGTCATCATGCCTGCCGAGGCATTGATTGTGGTATACTAGTGATGCTGTTTTAACTTCTATATTTGTAGTAGTTGCCTACTTTTGATTAATTATTATTATTATACAATATTTATATAGCGTCAACAGTTTGCTCAGTGCTTTACAATATAACGGGAGACAATACAGCAACCAATACAGTTCAATACAAGAGGGATTTGAGGGCCCTGCTCCTTGGAGCTTACAATCTAGGAGGGAGGGGCTAGTGGTAGAAAAGGTAGTAACTGTGGGGGATGGACTGGTTGGAAGAGTAGAAGAGTCCAGTATTAACTGAAGGCGGGATAGGCTTCCATGAAGAGAGAGGTTTTCAGAGATCACCTAAAAGTGAGCAGAGTAGGCGATAGTCTGATAAATTGGGGTAGAGCGTTCCAGAGGATGGGGGAAACTCTGGAGAAGTCCTGGAGATGAGCATGTAAGGAGGAGACAAGGGAGGAGAGTAGGAGGTACCATGAGAGGAGTTCTACCTTTTGCATATATATTACTATAATTACTGGTCGGCATGGTTTATGGTGGATTGGTGTTGCTGGCGAGATGAGCAGTGTGCATTGGTGGAGACAGTGAGAGTACACATATACCATCCATTGAATCGGGAGGTGGATGTCCATCTATTTATTCATCTTCTCAACGAGCTCCTGATGGGCTGGGAAGCCATCATTCTCCATCTTGAGTTCTTTCCCTAGACCTCCTTTATTTTAAGGAAGAAGGGTCTGGTAAGCAGCTTCTGTTTGGTGGCGTTCACAAGTGGTGAAGAGTCTGCTCGTTTATGGGATCCTCTGGGCTGCTTTATTCACACACTACGTTCTTTGGCTATGGACTTTGTATTTAGCACTTTATATGACTTTTGTTGGGCCTTGTATATGTTTGTGTGATTTTTGCAGAGCACACTTTCTATGAAGTTTTCGGAATTTGATCTGTTTAATATTTCGTTTCTACTTCTTCAGTGGTAAGCGTGTGCACTTTTCTTTATGGATGGCAGCACAACACAATGGAGATAATTCTTATGTATATATTTCTTATGTGGAGATATGACGAATGTGACTGCTACTTTGATAATTAAACACATTCACAAAGATTTTGAGGACACATTTGCGCAAAATCCCCGATTTAATAAATTTGGTGAATATGAAATGTTCTTTAGATTTCCTGTACCTGATAGTTGGGTGTCTGTCCCAACTATTTTTTCATTGCAGTTAAAGTGGAACCAAAGCTGAAAAAAAACTGCGAACAGGCAGTAAAAGCATGCAATGTCTCTTCTACAATAAAATTCACTTACGTGCCTGTTTGCAATCTCCTGTAGAAGATACTGAGCTGCACATGATCAGTTCAATTTACATGCTGGCACACTGCCTGTGCGGCGGGATGGCTTCACTTCTGCGTGGGAGTGACGTCATCCCGCGCTGGCCAATAAAGGTGCCTGAAGACCAGCACCCAGAAGAAGCTAGGAAGAAGATACTGGTGGTGGACCACAGCCTGTTTATTGAGCAGTGAAGGAGCAGCAGCATGATGATGAGGTCATGATTCTGCTCTCTCTTCTCTCCTCCATTCAGCAAGCTGTTAGATTGACAGTGCAGTAACACCTGATTGGCCCATAGTTCTCTCTCCCTCTCCTGTTTGCAGACTTTGCTGTGCAGGGTATTACAGACAGCAAATATAAAGACAGATTCGGGTACTTTTATATGTATTTGCATGAAACGAATTTTCAGTAATGAAATCAAGTTGTATATATCCCATTTAACACGCATCAATAACACGGCTAATATTGTCCTGTTTTCTGTCCAGTTCTTCCTGCACGGGTCAGACTTGAACTCTCTGCACAGCAACGTGCCAAAGGCCATCTTGCCCGATGAATATGGAGGGACTGCGGGCAAACTGGATACCTCTGCCTGGAGTCAGATCCTCCTGGCGTCTGAAAATGACTTTGCACAAGGCTTCTACCAGGCCGACCTTACCCGCGAGGGCTCCCTGCAAGGGCTTGTCATGAACGACTCGGAGTCTGACTACCTGCAGTGTGAGGAGTCCGCTCGTGGGGTGAAATCTCAGCTCTATTGTTACTGAATAGTATTTTTTTTGTGATGTCGTTTGTGTCCTACAGGAGAGGCCTCGGTATTCACACCCCTTCCTGTATTCTCATATTACTTTGTTTACTTGGCTGCTGTATAACCATTCATTCATTGTGGTACATGCAGACCTCCAGGTAGTTAACCATTTAATACGTATATAAACAGTGCTGTATTTAACTACCTGTGGATGCGAAGTTTCCATCAAACCCTGCACACTGGCTGAATTCTGATACCAGGCTGTCAGTGGGTGTGCATGTACTGGCTGCTGAAGTTATAGCGAAGGGTACAGGAAACCTTCCCTCACAGTAACATTGAAGCTCTTAGGAAATGTTTGCTTACGAGCACCTTGGACTGATGACTGATCTATTGTATTCTCTGCTCATGAATTAGAACAGTAAACCGTAACTGAAGCTGTTGACCACTCCTATAGAAAGCCCTTCTGCATATTTGCAGTGCTGGCCAGTCAATGTGATCAGCCAAGGGGTCTATCTATAAAGGGATCTAGCATTTAAATACAACAAAGATTTAAGCCACCTCCGCCAACCGCTCTAGCGATCTTCCATTAAATACACCCAAGATTTGAGCCACCCATGTCTTGCAACAGCTCAAGGGATCTGTCCTTAAATACACCAAAGACTTGAGCCATGTCCACTAACTGCTCTAGGGATCAAATGTTAAACACACCCAAGACTTGAGCCATGTCCACCAACTGTTCTAGGCATCTAACGTTAAATACACCCAAGATTTGAGCCATGCCAACCAACTGTTCTAGGTATCTAACGTTAAATACACCCAAGATTTAAACCATGTCCACCAACTGCTTCTAGGGATCGAACGTTAAACACACCCAAGATTTGAGCCATGTCTACCAACCGTTCTAGGCATCTAACGTTAAATACACTTAAGACCTGAGCCATGTCTACCAACCGTTCTAGGCATCTAACGTTAAATACACTTAAGACCTGAGCCATGTTCACCAACCACTCTAGGGATCTAACGTTAAATACACCAAAGACTTGAGCCACGTTCACCAACCGCTCTAGGGATCTAACGTTAAATACACCAAAGACTTGAGCCACATCCATCAAGTGCTCTAGGGATCTAACGTTAAATACACCAAAGACTTGAGCCCCGCTCACAAACCGTTCTAGGGATCTAATGATAATACACCAAAGTCTTGAGCCACGTCCATCAACTGCTCTAGGGATCTAATGTTAAATACACTGAAGACTTGAGCCATGTCCACCAACTGCTCTAGGGATCTAAAGGTAAATACACCGAAGACTTGAGCCCAGTCCACCAACTGCTCTAGCAATCTGTTAAATACAACAAAGACTTGAGCCACCACCAATCACTCTTCAGGAGTTGTCAACATGTTCAGTTACCATCTACTGTTCTAACTCATTAGCAGAGAATACAATAAATTAGACATGAGATTTAAGTCCACCCTGCACTATAAAGGACATTTACTTGTTGGCTAACATATTCCCTCCTTCCAGCTGGGTGAATGTTCACCCAATGTTTAAAAAACAGACCTGAGTGTATTGGCCAAAGGGGATCAGCAGAGTGACATTCAGGCAGAAGCAGCCAAACATTGGCTCTCCCTCAATATGGATTCTCAGAAGAGAACGCATGGCCAACTGCCATAAAGGAGGACATCACATCTTCTATATCAGTGTCAGTAGTGCACATCTTCAGTTACCATATTGATATAGGCGAGTCCTAATTTTAGGACAATGTACAACTGAAAGGGTATATGGTCTCACCTTTCAGGGTATAAATACTGAGGGGAGGGGAGTCAGTGTCCCCAAAGTATTGGCCATGTGGAAAAGAAAGGTTGACCATGGATGTTTTTTTTTTCTCTCTTCCAGAGTGTAGCTGCCAAATGCCTGAGTTTTAATTCTAGTTTCCTAAAGCACTTTCCAGCTTTTGTTAAAGTTTATTTTAATTGTCTGTTCATCAGAACTGGACCAGTGAACGTATTTTCCAATATTTAGGTAACAATTTGAACTTGTTACATGGTGGCAATGTGTACGTTTGTGTTTAATGCTCAGGTCAGTTTGTGGTATTAAACTTCTCTGGCACAGTGGCGTTGTCTTGTGTGAAGGTGACCATGTCTTGTTTGATGGTTACCATGTCTTGTTTGATGGTGACTTTGTCTTGTTTTATGCTTGTCTGGGGCTTCTATTAGAAAAACACGTCCTGTGCCCCTTACCATTGCTGTTTGTGATTCTGGAGGGTTGCTAGAGGTGCTCCAAGTTGGAAGGTTTGTAGTAATACCTCATTAGCTCCATACTTGCCATAATAGGGAGTCAGAGGGAGACATGGAGGTTAATTTACCAAGACTGGAGCAGTTCTGCACGGCAACCAATCAGTTTCTAGTTTTTAAATGAACAAGGAGCTGGTTACTATGCACAGCTCCTACAGTTTTATTAAATTCCCCCCCCTTGGTGCTTCAGCTGATTCATCATCCTGCAGGATGCCTCTTCTTTTTAGCATGAGTGACATGGGTGTCAGGATTGCTTTATATGGACTATCTGACATATAGATGCTGTGTTTGGACAACACACGCTTTTGCAGTGATTAGTTATGTGCAATCCTGAAGAAGACCCACTGTTGTATTGACTTTGTGCAATCCTGAAGAAGACCCAATGTTGTATTGACTTTGTGCAATCCTGAAGAAGACCCAATGTTGTATTGACTTTGTGCAATCCTGAAGAAGACCCAATGTTGTACTGACTTTGTGCAATCCTGAAGAAGACCCACTGTTGTATTGACTTTGTGCAATCCTGAAGAAGACCCACTCACCCCACTCACCCTACTGGACAGTTCCGGTTATCCAATCTACACCTAGAATTTTGGAATATGTAACCTGCATGCCAGTTTAGACCAGAATCAAGGTAGTTGTAAGGCTTATTTTCATTGGGGTGCACCAAAGTATAAGAATAGCAATGAAAGGTCTTTTTAAGGTGCACAGTGTAACCACCATTGGTGCAGTGACTCAAGATGGCCAACCCATTGTAAGTTGATAGTAGATCAGTTAAGAGATTTGTTTATTGCAATTTTTTATTGCAGTTTGTATGCTTCTTGTTCGCTGTGTAACTGAACACACCATTTGGAATATATCCTGAGAGTTTGCTATGGAGCATCCTTGGCTTTAGGGAATTCATCATTTTACAGTTTCAGAAGTCTTGTTTGTGATGGCAGAATCGCTGCCTACACTGTTCAAAGGCAGGAGGTCTCCTTTAAGTTGAATGTTCTCAAAATGTTTTTTTTTCCCCACAGCTTTGATGTAGCATTCCTTTTTTTTCTATTGGATTCCAAATGCCACAACTGCTGCCGCCCTTCCATATCCAAGGTCCTGTGTATTCTTTCATGGTTGAAGGGCTAGTCTACCTAGACTTCATCTTTTAGTTTAAAGCTATTTTACATTTTCAAAAGTGCAGCCTTGTTCCAGAGCGGATACTATTTTTTGTTTTAAAAGTAACATTTGGAAAACCCTCTCTGCACCATGCTGTTTGTGGTTTCACTGTTATAAAAAAGTTTAATTTGTCTGACTTTGGAGGTAAACCTCACACACCCATCAGACTCTTATATGAGCAGTTGAACCCTTAGCAACAAAGTGAAATCAGAATCCGAGAGGTGCACAGGAGGGGGAGATGTCTAAAGAAAGGTATTGTTTTTGGGTAGAACTTTCACTTTTTAGGTGTAAAATGACTGACATCCAGGGGCGGACTGACAACTCATGGGGCCCCCGGGCAATAGGGGATCATGGAGCCCCTGTGTCCTTGCCCAAACTCAAAAAAGCCTATGAAAAAGGTACCAGGGGCACCTCATGGGGCCCCCTACTGACCCCAGGCCCTCGGCAGTGCCCGAGTTTCCAAATGGTCAGTCCGCCCCTGCTGACATCCTTAGTTTTTCATACTACTTTTCTGTTGATGGGATTCCATGGTTGTCACAACCCTGCCTCGTATGTTCCACAGTGGAGAATTGAGGACAGTGCTTGGTCGCTTGCTGTACTTGAGACTAGCCAATATAATTCTGGCCAGTGCTGACTTTAGCAATCAGTAGTCAGATGAATAGAAAGACTATATTTTTTTTTTTAAGGAATATGACTGCAATACTCTGTTGGCTAGACTCATGCTCACAGTTATATCTCTCTATAGTAATACATTTTACAGAATGGCTGTGAAGCAATGGTTTCTTATGATAATTCCACCTTGTAAACTGAAAAAAAAGGATATTACATATACTGTATACATAATATTTCACATCTAGGTCTTATGTAGTAAGGCCACACGCACACTGGGTGTTTAGCCCCGATGCAGGAGGTTCCTACCTTAGGTTCAGGTGGAAGATGCAGGCCCATCGCCCAACCATGCTGCCTGCAGCCTGTCAAAATGTAAGAGGTTAACAACTGATAGGGCTGGACGGTGCAGTGAGTGGTACGTGTGCTTAGTGCAGTATGTGCCTAGAGACAAATGTCCAGAATGTAGACGGCTTGTGTTCTGGTAATTTGTTCCTGGGTGCATACTGCACTAAGAGGAAGTGCCTTCTCAATGCACCATTCAGCCCCATCAGTTGCCAGCCTCTCATAGTGTTTGACAGCTGCTGGCAATGGGGCTGGGTGGTGCACCTGTACCTTCCACCCGCACCTAAAGCCAGAGCCTCATGCATCGGGGCTAAGTGCATAAGGCTTTACTGTTAGGTTAGCAAGTTTAATTTAGAATGGAGTACATTCCAACATGGCAACTATCTACAGTAAGCACCTGCCCAGAAAGGTGACAATGCCCTTTGGAATCTTAGATTGCAATGGCCAGAGCTCTGTGCAGTCGAATATTAAAACCGCAGAAGGTGCCAAAACCTGTGACTTTTCTACTTAGCACTTGCATTGTGAATTTTGAAACATAATGGAAATGTATGCACTTTTTCGGTCTGCTTTACCGCACAGGAATTCACTTTACATCCTACCAGTTAACTAAAAAGGTGCTTCAG